CCTGAGCCTGAGGTGTATTTGAGCCAAAGAAGACCCTTTGTGGACCTTGTGGTGGGTGGCAATGAGCAGGAGAGAGGTTTGCATTTTGAAAATATTCTCCCTGTGGTTGCTCATTCTTCCTCAGGTGCAAGGAGACAAGAGAGAAAATAGAGACCACTTCATTTCTGTCACTCAGAAAAAAATTGTCCCTTTAAAGAATAATTTAAAGACAAATATACGTCAATCAAAGCAGAGATGGTAGGCAAAAATTGAGGAGGAGGTACGTGAGTAGCAGAAGTTTGAAAAATACAGATCAAATCTGACCCCCTGTGTTCTAGGTGAGAATACTCTGAAAACAGCCTGCAATGTGTCAAGGGGAGTGACATGAAAGAATAGCCCCGGTAAGATTGAGATTTCACCAGGTGAGGGAAGGGGGAGGAAGGAAAAGTATTCCTGGAAGAGGGAATAACACTTAACAGGCTCAGAGGTGAAGTAATAGTAATGAATTACTTGTGTGTGTATTTTAGTTTACAATCATTTATATGGGCCTCCCCGTATGCCAGGCACTGTTCTACGTGCTTTTCGAATATTAACTCAACCATCTTAACCACCGTGTTCTGTGGGTGCATCATGCCCATGCTCCCCCTAGTTGGCACGATGGCAGGTGCTCACGTGGGAGGAAGGGAGGGTGAGAGGGTTTGAGGGCCCTAACATGTGGAAGCTTCTTCCTGCTACACATCTGCCTCATGTGTATTTTACTAAGTGGGGGAGAGGGCTAAGGTGCCTAGAATAGGAGAGGGGACAGCCCCAAGGGCAGGTAGGGCCCTAGACTGGGAGTCAGAAATGGGGGCAGAGCTGAATGACACCTCTGAGTCCACTTGCCCCGTCCAAGAGATGGGAACTCTGCCCATGAGCCTCAGGGCAGGTCACTACACCTCTCGCATCTCTGTGAGCCCTGTGAGCGTCACGGGGTGCGCTCTCTGCTATGAACTTCACGGAGCTGTTGTGAGGAGCAGGCCGGGTCCTGAACAAGAAAACACTTGGAAGAAAATAAAAGAGGCGGAAGGATTATAGAAAGGGCCAGAGGGGGGCGGAAATCAAGGGACCTGACTTCTGCTGCTATATTTCTAAGGACATTGGTTTGACACCTGTATTAAATAGTGTTTTTAATAAAGCAGAACTTAATTCTGTCTCATGTAAACGTATACTTGGCAGTTAGGACTGGCGTGGTGGCTTCATCAGTCACAGGAGACCTGGGTTCCTGCTGTCTTGTTGCTCTGCCATCCTCCACTTTGTGGCCCAAGAAGGCTACGCCACCTCCAGCCCTTGTGGCCACATTTCAGTCAGCAGGAGGATGAGGGAAGAGGCAGGGCCCCTCCTCTTTCCCCTGAAGGGCACAACCCAGAAACTGCACAGATCACTTCCATTTGTATCCCATTGGCCAGGATTTAACCACATGGCCACACTTACATACAAGGAAACTGGGACTGTGTCTTTGCTATGAGTGACTAGGAGAAGGGATATCAAAGGACAACTGATGTTTGCCACAGCTGCTGAATTGCTTGGGCAACTCGTATCTCCATCTGAGCCACAGTTTCTTCATTTGCAAATCCCTTCATTCCTTCACTCATGTATTCATTCTACATATCCTATATAATAAAACCCTAATATGCAAATCGGCCAAACAGCAGAACAACCAGTCACTATGACGTGGCAAGAGGCAGATGCTCAATGCAGGAGCTGCCCGCTGGTGGTCAATGTGCTCCCACAGAGGGAGCGCCGCTCAGCCAGAAGCCAGGCTCACAGCTGGCAAGTGCAGTGGTGGTGGCGGGAGCCTCTCTCACCTCCGCTGCAGGCAGGTGGTAAGGAGCGAGGGGTCCCAGATTGCGAAAGCCCCAGACTGTGAGAGGGATGTCTGACTGCTGGCTTAGGCCCGATCCCCGGGGATTGGGCCTAAGCCGGCAGGCAGACATCCCCTGAAGGGTCCCAGACTCTGAGAGGGCGCAGGCCGGGCTAAGGAATCCGCCCCCCCTCAGTGCACGAATTTCGTGCACTGGGCCTCTAGTACTAGTATATGTGCCAGGTTTGTGTTACAAAGTACTATTTTTGAACCACTTGACTGCTAATGGGTCCTCTTACCAGCTGGACCATAAGCCCCATGAGGTCAGCTGTGGGGCTCTTTCTTGCTCACCGCTATACCCCAGCATCCCTGTACCCCCAGCATCAGTGCAGGGTCTGACACATGGAAGCCATAGTATTAGCTGCCCATGGATGATGAATAGTTAGCGATTCTGGCTTTTGTATTTGGTGGAGACATTTTTCCTTGCTCAGTGTTTAAGTTCCTTCCTCTTCCAGGCCTCCTGGCTCCCCCTTCCCTTACCCCACATGCCAAGCCTTTCTGAGCTTATGAAGTAAAATGAGCCAGAATCCCAAGATTAAAAATAAATGAAAATGCATCAGAACAAGTTAACCACGAGAAATGGCTTTCCAGGTGATCAGGTGTCAGCACTGGAGGCCAAGGACCGAGCGCCAGACTCCAACTGCCACGCACTCCCATCGACCCTCCACTGTGTTGGGCAGAGAACCCACTGGGCCTGCCCAGGAGCTCAGCAGATGGCTGGCTCGAGCCCCTGCCTGGCGCTCCATCACTTCAAAACAACAGGCAAGGCCTTCCACACAGGTCAGGGGGAACAGGTTCTAATTCCAGCCCTGCGGGGGTGATCCTGAGAAATCTGCGCCTCTTGGTTTGGTTTTGTTTTTTCAGTCCTCATCAGAGGAGTGAAGATATTTTTTTCCATTGATTTTTAGAGAGAGTGGAAGCAAGGGGGAGGAGAAGAGAGAGTGAGAGAAACATCAACACAAGAGAGACACATCAATTGATTCCCTCCTGCCCGTGCTCTGACTGGGGGGGAGATGGGGGGAGGAGGAGGATTGAACCTGCAACCGAGGTATGTGCCCTTGACTGGAAATTGAACTGACGACCCTTCGGTCCTCAGGCAGACACTCTAACCACTGAGTGACACCGGCCAGGGCCAGGGCCTCTTTGAATGTCAGTTTCCTCATCTAGAAAAAGGGGCAAATGGTAGGATCTATCTGTCATCAACTATAAAATGCAGATAACAATGGTGTCTCCCTCGTAGGCAGAGGTTCCTAAATTTCCTCAGTTCACAGCACCCTTAGCATGTCAGTAATTTTTTCACAGTGTGCCAGGCCCAAAGAAATACCTAGCAGTTATTAAGCAATTCATTTTAAACAACTTAATAATTGTAGTTTATACAGTATCCAACAGAGGTTATTGTGTTTTCTTCAAATTTTTAAAATACTTTTTTGTGGTGCATCTGTGAGATTTCTTCCATACCTCAGGGTGCCTCAGCACATGGTTTGGGAATCGAAGCCAGAAGGTTTTGAAGATGAAATGAAGTTATGGATGCCATGATACCTGGTCTGGAGTAGATCAATAAATGCTGATTGTCCTACATTATCCTTCAATTCTCTAGTTCTTTCTGGGTCCCCACGGCCACACAGCTATACTTCCTGTCTCCGGCTCCCACCGCCTGCTGGTTTCTGCTTGCCGCCTTTCCTCTGGGCCCCTCCAGGCTCTGGCCCCACTTCTGAACTAACTTCCTTCCTGGTGTAGGACTGTTGGTCCCACTTCCTCACCCCTCCCCAACTCCACACACTTGACGTGACCTCTTCCTGGGTGGAGTGTGCATCCCTGCCCCTTAACTTGGACTTGGCCATGGGACTCACTTTGCCCAGTGGAATGTGTTGAAAGTGACAGTTCTGCGTGTAGGCTTTAAGAGGCCTCACAAGGTTCCATTTGCTCTCTTATCCTTTGCCATTGAGAAGGGAAGAACACGCCCCAGTGGCCCAGGGATTCGAGGAGGAGGACAAGAGAACCATGAAGCAGGCTCAAATCTGCAGATCTAAAGTCTGATGCAGACCACCCCCACCAACCCACGAACTCAAAGGTGAAAATAGACAATTGTTGTTTGAAAGCATGGAGTTTTGGAGGTTTGTGACAGTGTCCTTGTGACAATCCAGCCTCTGTACCCAGTTCCTACAGCTGAACTTGGCTCACAGTAGGCACTCAATAAGTGATTGTGGAAAGAGAGAATTAAAGGGTATCCACTTCAGCCCTTGCCAGTTTAGCTCAGTGGATAGTACGTCAGCCTGTGGACTGAAGGGTCCTGGATTCGATTCCGGTCAAGGGCACAAACCTAGGGTGCAGGCTTGATCCTTGGCCCTGGTCGGGGTGCGTGCAGGAGGCAACCAATCAATGTGTCTCTTTCACATGGATGTTTCTCTCTCTCTGTCTCTTCCCCTCCCTTCCACTCTCTGTAAAAATCAATGGAAAAAAATCCTCGGGTGAAGATTAACAACAACAATAAAAGGATATCTGCTTCATAGCAAGTTGTGAAGAATAAATGGGGTGTCAGTTAAGGCTGTGTTTGCCCAATTAAAACTGGGGTTCACTGTCTCACAAAACAGGCAGATGCTATTGGTGATTCTGTGACTCCGTGATCACAAAGCCTATGCAGTTTTCTTGCCCTTTGTCTTACTTAGGGGTGTAAGCTGGTTACTGTAGCTCCAGGCATCGCACCCACATTTAAGGCAGAAAGATGGGGAAGAAAGGGGAGCATCGCTGACACTTTCCCTTTTGCCAGCTAGACAAAAGTTTTCCTAGCGGTCTCAAAGCAAATTTCTGTTTTGATCCCATTCACCAGAAATCGGACACCTGGGCATCCCAGAAGCAGGGGGACTTGGGGAGTGAACATTCCCCTTTATCTAGACGTGATGGATAAGTGAGGAAGGGAGGGAGGGACTGGGGACACGGCAGGAATAGATGGGGTATTTGCCCCAAGTGAGATTTCATATATAAATAATAGAAATACATGTTTTAGAGGGAGAGACTATAGATATATATGTCACTTGGAGCCCTCAGAAGAGGACCCCTATTCTCATAATAATTGTTTTCATCACGTGAAGCTTTGCAGTCTCTGTAGTCCTATTGGCATCAGATCTTGGATTCTGGAACTCACAGGCACGGAGGCACTGTTGTCCCAACGGTCTCCCTCCTGCCCTCCCTACTTTTTCTCTTTAGAGCACTGAAACACTTTAAAAAAAAAAAAAAACCCTACATTTTCCAATGTGAGCCACTTCCTGGTCTCATTAACTTCATCCTCGGTGATTTGGCCAGACGCTGCTTCCAGCCTGAAGCAGGCAGGAGACTATGTAAGTCAACGGCCTGTCAGGCCCATCACCAGGCCAGCGTCAAGGTCTCTCCCAAGGACACTGAGATGAAAACAGCAGAAGAGCCAACCCCGAGTCTTGGGCAGACCCTGGAGTGGCTGAGGAAGGAACTGGTAAGGCTCTGCATTTCTTTTTACCTGACACCTCCACCCCATGTATGCCAAGGTTTGCTGGTCCCCCTTCCCAGGTGCCCCATTGGCTGGGACAGAGGCTGCAGGCTGGGGTGTAGGCCCTGCAGGCAGCCCTCTGGGACCAGCCACACAGTCCACAGTCGCCACCTCAGGTACAGGGATAAGTAGGTCATGGCCTACATAGGAGGCTCTGGGTGCACTGCGTGCCAGACCGGTTTCAGAAATTACACTGAGTCCTGGGTATGTGCCCAGCTCTGCTGCTGTGTGGCTTCTACCAAGTGGCTTTACCTCTTTGAGCCTCAGTTTCCTTATCATAAGGTGGGGGTAACAGTTGTACCAACACTGCAGGGGTTACTGAAAGGATTTGGTGAGAAGATGGTGTAATTCGCTCAGTGTCTGCTCAGCACGTCTGCTACCATCCTGGCCCAGGTGGCTGTGGAGTACAGCCGCTGTCTTAGCCTGGGTGTGCTCTGTGTCCGCCTGGGGCAGAGGTTTGCACAAGGATTGGGGCACTAACAATTCATTTTGGAGGTGCAAGCCCAGAGCAGTGAGAGTGAGGAAAATGGGGAGTGGAGGCCAAGGGCATATGCCCAGGTTGTGGGCTCGATCCCCAGAGAGGGACTTGCAGAAGGCAGCCGATCCATGATTCTCTCTCATCATGGATGTTTCTATCTCTCCCTCTTCCTTCCTCTCTGAAATCAATAAAAATATATTTTTTAAAAAACGTGTGGGAGGAAAATCCTAAAATTGAGAAAACATAGGCAACATTTTCCCAGGAATTGGGAAGGGATGGCTGCATGTTCTCGGGGGTTTCCTCTTTCTAGCTCCCTGTTCTCTTGGTGTTATTACTACTGCCTGCAGGGTGTACTTCACTTGAATATGAAGTCACTCTCTCCTTAATGCCTATAAAATGATTTGTTAGTGAGGGTTATAGCATATAAGTGGGGTTGTAAATAAGAAGAATCATGTTTAATATTGATGATGATAATGAAGATCATCACAGATCTTGGTAGTTCCGCATGCTTTATTTTAGAGTGGGAACTAATTCATTCCATCCTCATAATGTTACTGGACCGAAGTCTGTGTGCCCAATGCTTCGAAAGGCCAAAACTCAAAATGTCGGGGTTTGGAATAAGGAAAGGTTCATTGATCAAGAAGGCACCCACCGAGAAGATGGGAGACCTAGTGGTGCCTCAGATCCTTCTTGCCCCCTGGACCAGGCCAAGGGTTCTTAAGGGGCTCTGAGGAAGTGCTGGTGCTGCTTGGGCACGTCTTAGAGGACCTCAGAACCTGGCCATCGGTGGTAAAAAGGCATCAACACTGGATCTTCCTGGACAACAGAACCCTGACTTCTGAAAGGATTCCAGTGTCCAAGTTCCGGTTATGTCCCAGTCCTGTGGTTCTGTGAGGTGCGGGCTGGGGCATGGGAGGTGGAGGCTGGGAGGTGGGGCGGGGGTGGTGGTTGTGGTGAGACCTTGGTTCTGGGTGCAGCTGGAGGCCAAAGTTCTCTCCTCTGTGCCATGCTCCGGCTGCATGATTGTGGTCTTGGTCTGCTTTGTCTGAAAAGCAAGTCAGTATCTCGTTGAACAGCAGAGGGCCATCTTGAGCTGGTTACAGTAAGAGCCCTGGGAGGTAGGTAATTTGCAGATGAAGAAACTGAGGCTTTGGTGCAAACAGCTTCTTCGAGCTTGTGGGCTTGTCTCTGGCAAGACAGTAATGAGAACAGGCTTTCTGGGGGAGTGTCCAGTGCACTGCCCGCCCCTCGCAGACCTGTTCTCTCTCTCCCAGGCCGAGATGCAGATCCAAGACCAGAAGCTCCTGCTCACACTGAGGCATCTTCGCAGTGTCCTGGAGGAGCTGCGTTCCGAGAGTGCCCACTGGGAGGATGCCACGTCCAGCAGAGGGACATCGCCCATCAGAGCCCGAGCAGGCTCCGAAGGCCGGGGTCACCAGCCCGTGTCATCCAGGCGGCTGGCCCAGCTCCAGCTCCTCCAAGGGGTAGATGGCCGGCGAAGCTCCCTCCCTTAGCTGGTCAGAGATGACCCTGGGCTTGAACCCCTCATCACTAATCTAAGTTTTGTGATGCTGTTGGGGTGGGGGACACTAGGATGGGAGTCAGGAAGTCCCTAGGTTCACCTCTGTCCTCATCTACTAAATGTCCCTGGACCCCTCACTCAACTTCTCTGTGTCACTGGTTCTTTCTCTGTCAGTTATGAGCATTTTTTGATGAGGCACAAATAAGGTATTGGGTGTGAACATGCTTTGAAAAACACAAATAGGTTACATGGTTCTGGAAAGCACCATCAAGTAATCCTCAAAAAGTAATTGTTAGAACAAAGTGCTCAATGTGCGAGGAAGTTTATCTAGTCTTGCCATGGTGACAAGCAGAAGCCTGCGTAAACCTTGATGGTTGTTTTCTGCCTTCCAACAGGACTTCTCATTCCCCTTTATCTGAGAGCAACAGATGCTGTCACCATTCTGGCCGTAGGGATGGACATGTGATCAGGCCTGCCCAATTATAATGCATGGCCACTCTAACAACAGGATTGGCTAAGTGGGTTGGCTGAGTGGGTCAGCACAGCCAATCACAGCCCTTCTCTGGGATTGCTAGCTGGATGCTTGTTCTATTGCAGTTGCAAAGCTGGGGCTGCCAGAGGCCATGTAACCTGCCAGGTGGGGAAGACCTGTCTGTGCTCAGAAAGAAAGAGGCTAATCTTAAAAAAGAAGTAGAGAGAGGACCAAACAAGAGATAGGCTGAGAGGTAGAGTGCTTGCTCGTTTTAGTCCCTGGTTTCAGGTCCCAGTTCAATGAGTTACTCCTGCGTTCTCTCCAGTGACTGAGGCCAGTGAATTCCACCACCACCACACACACCAATTTGTTTTTGCTTAAGCAGCTTTGAGTAGGGTTTCCCTCATTTGCAACCAAAACAGTCCTAAAGAATACAATCCAGATGTTCATAGAAGCAAAGGAGGGAGGTGATGAAGAAAACAGCATTTCACTCATTCAGGGTTGGCAATAACAACCCTGTAATAGCAGGCAACAAGGTTTATGATGTGGCAGAACATTCAGTGGGATGGGGTGCAGGAGTTATAGCTTTAAAAAAAATAGAAGAGGTGAAAACAAAAAACCCTGTTGTTACGATGGTCTGATGATTGGTAGGCCTTTCTATTTTTTAAAATCGACTTGCATGTTGTTAGCATATTGTTTTTATGGTTTTGAAAAAGTAAACTCATTGCATACAAACACAGAGTGTGGAGGATTTGCATTATATGTACAATGTTTACAGCCAGGCTAATCGGAGACTTTTTAAACATAATAGTTGCCGAAACCGGTTTGGCTCAGTGGATAGAGCGTCGGCCTGCAGACTGAAAGGTCCCGGGTTCGATTCCGGTCAAGGGCATGTACTTGGGTTGCGGGCACATCCCTAGTAGGAGATGTGCAGGAGGCGACTGATCGATGTTTCTCTCTCATCGATGTTTCTAACTCTCTATCCCTCTCCCTTCCTCTCTGTAAAAAATCAATAAAATATATTTAAAATATATATATATATAATAGTTAATAGATAATACAAAAATACTTCTTTATTGACAGCTAAATGGATAGGCAAAATGTGATATATACATAAAGTGGAATTTCATTCAGCCTTCAAAAGGAAGGAAATTCTGGCACATGCTACAACGTGGATGAACGCCAAAGGCATTATCCTGAGTGAAATAAGCCGGTCAGTCACAAAAGGATAAATACTGTATGATTCCGTTTATATGAGGTGCCTACAGTAGTCAAATCCATAAAGACACAAAGTAGAATAGTGGTTTCTAGAAGCTTGGAGAGCAGGAGTGGTGAGTTTAATGGGTACTGAGTTTCAGTTTTGCAAGATGAAAAACATTCTGGATGGATGGTGTGATGGTGGCATAACAATGTGAATGTACTTGATGCCACCCTGAGCTGTACACTTATAATGCTAAAATGGCAACATTTGTGTTATATTTTTAATATAACACAAAAATAAATACTGAAAAAAAGCCGCACTGTGATGCTGGGGCTGGGGCTGGGGCTCAGGCTTCATGAACCACATTTCTGTGTTGCCAGTGCCCCATGTTAGAGTTTGTTAGACTTTGCCAATAATCAGGATGGGGCTAGAGGGACACCCCACGGCTGGAGGAGGGAGAAAGAATTCACTTCTTCATCTCTGTTCTCTGTAGCTTCCTGTTCCTATGAGCAGCACCACCTCGCCATACTTCACCTCACAGCAGCAATTTCTCCCCAGGCCACCAGCCAGCACTCTCTTGTCAAGGTTCTAGGTCCCGGGCCCCATGGGCAGCCACCAAATGCCAAGCTAGGAAGATGCATTTGGAGAGTCACATACTGGCTCTATGACACTTTAGACAGGAAGTGCTACTAGTATATGTTTCTTCCTCCCACAGCCCATTCAATCGAATAGGTCACATGATCTGTCCTAGGAGGCGGCTGGGAAGTGTGGGAAACAGAGGGAGAGCCTGGTGAGTACCAGGGTGTCAGACACATGCTCCAGTCTCTCTTAGCTTCCTTGTCCCGTCAGAGCACTGGGAGCATCTCTTGTGCTAACATTTGTTTGACCCTGACACAGGCTCCTAAAACCCTTGTAAATTCCTAATTATATTGATTCTGGGTAGGCTCCTAGGTGGCTCCTGGATGTGGACTGATCACCAGAAAGACCAAGCCATGGTTGGAAGCTTGGACTTTCCATTCCCATCCCCCATCCTCCAGAGAGGAGAGAGGGGCTGGAAATGGAGGTGCTAATTGTTCATGTCTACATGAGGAAGACTCCATAAAATCCCACTAGTAGGGGATTTGGGGAGCTTCCAATTTTGGGGCATCCACATAGTAGGAGGGTGTAGACACTCTCCTACACTGGGGACCCTCCCAGACCTTGCTCTATGTATCTCTGTATCTGGCTGCTCCTCTGAGCTGCTAAAAGTAAGTGAGTGCTTCCCTGTCTTCTGTGAGCCCTTCTAGCAAATTAACTGAATCAAGAAGGGGGCCACGGGAACCTCCAATTTGTAGCCACGTTGGGTGGAAGTTGTAAGTAACTGGGGGACCTTCTACTTCTGATTGGCATCTGAAGTGGGGCGGGAGCCATCTTGTGGGACTGAGCCCTTAACCTGTGAGACCTCCAGGTAGACAGTGTCAGAGTTGTGTTAAATCGTAAGACACTCAGCTGTTGTCATGGAGAATTGCTTGGAAGTGTTCTGTGTAAAAGTAAAGGGAAAACACACAGGAGATGGAGAACTGGGTTTTTCCCTACTCAGGAGGGAAAGACTCGGTTTTTCTATGCAGGCCTAAAGAGCAATGGCCAAGGAAGCAAAAGCGGGGCCATTGGGAGCAAATTAAACTGGCAATTCAAAGTTTGGTGTTTGACAAATGTTTTTGTGTCTCTTAACCGAGAGCTATCAGTCAGGGTAACTACTGTGTGGATGGACGCCACCTACTGTCCATGCACAGTCATTCTTCCGGAACCTGCCTGCTCTGGGTTGTAGGACTGGCTCCTTCACCACGTGATTTCTTATTGTGGGGCATCTTATTGGGAGGGCCAAGGAGGATAAGGCTTTCTGGCCCTTGAGATCTGGGCTTCAATTTCAGCTCTGCCCCTTAGTCACCTGGGGCAAGTAACTTCTCCTCTGAGCCTCCATTTAACGTTAAATCTAAAATGAAAATGACACCTCTTAGATCTGTGAAGAGGATCTTGGGAAAATGCTTTGTGAACTGGAAATAACTGGAGGCAATAGAAAGAAGCATAGTCTGCAGTTGAACAGGCCTGGATCTGTTTTTTAAAATACTTATTGTGCACCAGCTGTATGCCAGCCGCTATTCTGCATGTGGGAAGGTAACAATGAATAAAGCAGACAAAATTCATGTTCTTATGTAGTTAACATTCTAGCACTCCAGTTTGAGTCATTCATTCATCTACAGATATTTTCCTGATACTACTATGTGTCGGGCACTTTCCTAAGCAGTGGGCATGGAAGGATTCCAATATGGCTGGAGCACAGGGAGCAAAAGGAACAGGGTTGAACCAGGTTTTATGGGGCTTAAAGCTTTTAAAGTTTAGGGTATTTTTTTCTTAAAGAGAAAGAATACAGCCCTAGCTGGTTTGGCTCAGTGGACAGAGCGTCAGCCTGCGGACTGAAGGGTCCTGGGTTCGATTCCAGTCAAGGGCACATGCCCGGGTTGTGGGCTCGATCCCCGTAGGACGCATGCAGAAGGCAGCCCATCAATGATTCTCTCTCATCATTGATGTTTCCATCTCTCTCTCCCTCTCCCGTTCTCTCTAAAATCAATAAAAATATTTAAAAGAAAGAGAAAGAATACAAAGTCATAAATACAGAATTTGGTTAGCAAATAAATTTTTTTAGAATAATAGAAGAAATAATAACAAATTACAAAATTTAAAAAGCTGACAAATACCACAAATATTATACAATCTAGAGCCAGCATATTTTTACTAATTAGCTGCATGATATAGCTCTTTAATAATTTTTCTCTACTTTTTTTCTGTATATTCTTTGGTCATCTAGTCATAAGACAATGATTTTGTTGTTGTTGTTCATCCTCACCTGAGGATTATGACCTAATCACCTCCCAAAGGCCCACCTTCACATTGAGGGTTAAGACCTATACTAATAAAAGAGTAATATGCTAATTAGACCGGACATCTTCCGGACGACCTTCCGGACAAAGCCATGGTGGTGGAGCCGAGGCAGAGGTGGTTAGAGGCGATCAGGCCAGCAGGGGAGAGCAGTGAGGGGGATCAGGGCAGCAGGGGAGAGCAGTTAGGGGGATCAGGGCCGCAGGGGAGAGCAGTTAGAGGGATCAGGCCAGCAGGAGGGTGAGCGGTTAGGAGCCAGCAGTCCCGGATTGTGAGAGGGATGTCCGACAATCGGGCCTTAACTGGCAGTCAGACATTCCCTAAGGGGTCCTGGATTGGAGAGGGTGCAGGCTGGGCTGAGGGACACCCCTCCCCCGCCCCCATGTACAAATTTCATGCTCCTGGCCTCTAGTTTTAATATATGAACTTTGGGGGAAAACAAACATTCAGCTCAAAACATCTCTAAACCTAAATTAAATGTATACCTAATTCAACTGTGCCTTAGCTGCAATCCTTCGGGTCCTCCATTGCCATCACCAACACAGTGT